AAACGACTGAAACTTTGGATTTGGTTTTGTCTGAAGAGTTGCCACAAATCGGGGATCAATTGGCGAGACGATGGCCACAGTAGTGGACGAGCAGGTGATGGTTGAGGTGGTGGTGCCCGAGATAGAGGTGAACACCAGTGGCATTGACCACAGCTATTGTGTCAGTGATAATGAAGAGTACAAACAACTGTTGCATAAATACAATGTCTTGAGGTATGACTTCTTGGAGTGTCAGTCGCTGTTGGACTCCATTGAAGACAAACTCATGGCTTTCATCAATGAATGCATTTGTGACTCAATCATCAAAACCGTTCAGAAGGAAGACATCTTCAAACTGTTGGACAAATTGCATGCAATCAAGAGGAAGGGTACGCACGAAGACATACATCCAATCGGTGGTCACACTGTGGACACTAACCGCAAGACGTGTGATACAAATGAATGCAAAGCCGAAGATACTAATGAAGACAGTGTCGAGAGTTGTGGTCAAACCTCGCCGTTGATGGTACTGAACGCCAAGCAAACATTGGTTCCCATAATCGGTGACCAAACGACTCGTTTAGTGATAATCGGGTCAAACGAGTCGACAACAGCCACGGCATCAACTGATGCCAAGAGTGTGACCACTGGACGTGTTTTAGACCAATACCTAAATAACGTGAACTATAGCTACGATTATATGCCGGGAGTCCCCAAACAGTTCCCGTGTCGTGAATGCGGGCGAGTCTTCGCGTCCGGCAAACAACGGAATAATCACCAGAGGACTCATCAAAAGCGTGAACAGCATTACATCCATTGCCAGCACCTGTACTGCAAGAAGCGGTTCATATCGCCGGACGCCTTCAAGAAGCATATGGACAAACATCTGGGCATTGAGTCGACGGACAGCGGCAGTGGTGGCGCCCAACCGGGCACTCCCGGCACTCCCGGCCCTCAAGAGGAGAGTTACTTCAAGCGTAAGAACAAGAATAAGGAATACCAGTGCGAATGGCATGACTGCGACCAGTGGTTCGCGTTGCCATCGCTCCGCAAACAGCACTACAATGCGGTGCACCTGAAGATCGCGCGCCACAACTGTATGATCCCCGGCTGTAGCGCGCAGTTCGTCAAGAAGTACGACCTGGAGGTGCATATAGGCGTCGACCACGGCTTCAAGTTTTACAAATGCTCGTGGAGTGGCTGTTCGCGACAGTTCTGGTCGCGTACACTACTGGCCAGACATCATGCGCTGATGCACCTGAAGATCAAGAAATTCAAATGCGATGAATGCGACCAATGCTTCTCCAACGGCGCCAAACTGGCGGCCCATAAGTGCAGAGAACACAACGCCCTCAAGAGGTTTGCCTGCGATTGGAGTGACTGTCACTTCTCGACGAATGTCAACAAATGTCTGGTCGAGCACAAGCGCACCCACACTGGCGAACGGCCCCATCAGTGCCTGTGGCCCGGCTGTGGAAAGGCATTCACCCATAGCTACTCACTCACCACTCATACCCGCATTCATACGGGAGAGAAGCCATTCAAATGCGATTACGACGAGTGCTTCAAAGAGTTCCGGTATTGGAATGACTTGAGACAACACAAGAAAACACATCTATTGGACCCCTAATGCCTGTCCAACCGATTCTCACTTTTCATGTAATCAAAAGATATTTATCAATACAATACTCACAAGTCTTGTCAGTAAATGTTAGAATAACGGGCCGGTTTCATGTAGTTTTAGAAATGTGTCAAATTCATAGTGATTTGAATCATCATTTAACTACTGATTACTATTTATTCAATCAAATTATATTACAGTTGTATGTATTTTAAGACACAATTATATAATTGAGTGTCGATTTCCAATGTTTCTAAAACTTTTCAAATGTTCCTGTGTCAAATCTCCTGAGCTTTGTTAGGGTGCAGTAGTCGTACTCATTATGGACTGCATACCTTTAATTCAATACAAATACAGTATTACAATTATGACCTCAAATTATTTATGATTAATGTTATGATTTGTAAAATAATTTTTAATATTGCAGCAATAAAATGTTTAAACATAATTACAAATTAGAAAACTAAATTATTTATTTACCGGCAATACTCGGATCTATTGGATTCATGAAACGGATAGTCCGGATGAGTGTGAGCGCCCTTATCGTTAATCTTTTTCGGAAGGGTCGGTAACTTAAAAATATCATTCATTTCAGTATCGCGATTGTCGTCCCGTTTGCATACGTAGGGAACCATAGCTTGTGATTGGATTCAGTGAACGCATATCCCGTCGGATAATGCATTAGTAAGAGATCGATGTAATCGAGGCCTAAGTTCTTGAGCGACGTTTTGGTTTGTTTGTGGACCAGCTCTCGGCTGTGGAAAGAGTTCCACACTTTTATGGAGATCCAGAAGTCCTGACGCTTGAGGTGACCCAACTCTATCATATTTCTGAGCGCCAGTCCCACAACCAGTTCGTTGTCGTATTGAAATGC